TAATAGGGTACATATTTATTCATACAAATATAGGACACACAAGTTGTATAGGAATGGATAAGAATTATTTAAGTTACATATTTAAATTACATGATGTACGGTTAAATAACATGGTTTTTGTCATTTTATCTTTAGTTTGTGGAGAAAATCGGATAACTGGTGATTCAATGGAACACACCAAGAAATATAGAGATATTGACTTCGCATTAACAAAATATATACTACATAAACGAAGTTAGGAAGTTGTGTGAGTACCTTGACATGATTATGAGCAATAAATTGTGCTCGAAAAGTCATCAGTAAACCTTACTGTATAACCGTGAGAGACTTTATCAAAACAAATTCTACCCATAGTGTATTTATACTCTACCACAGCGCACAAGTTTTATTCTTTTTTTAATAATAATGTATTTCATATAAATTTACAAATTTACATGAAAATGCATGCCATTTTTACAGGCACGATCAAGTATGATATAATATCAAATCGTAGATTGCCTACAAGTTAATCGTATTTCAACTGTTAAATATTCGATACATATAATACACTCATTTTCTGAATTAGGCCGTATAGTTATTGAATTGTACAGTTGTCCTCCAGGTTGAGCGGGAAAATCGACTTCGTTCCGTTTTCATCCCGTGGTTGTAGGCATACGATAACCAACCGATATTGAGGTAAGTACACCTTTTACAAGGGATTGGAATCTGTTTTAGAATCATTAAATTGTAATGAGATAGGTAAGTGCAAGTATCATTAATAAATGCATTAATAAAGGAAACACCCTAGGGTAACAACATTCATTTGCAATGTATAATGCTACAGATATATCACAAACTATCATGATATCCACTTTTGGTTTTAATACAATTGTCCTCATGCCAGTTGTTTTTATTTTATACCTTTTTGTGCATTTAGTGCACAACCGTACCCTTCAGAGGGTAGGAGTATAATAAGTAATGAAGAGCTATAAGATGTTAAGTTTAATGGAGTAAAATGAGGATCAAGTAAAGACGTTGTCAGAAAATAAATGAGATAAGACATTGTGGAGTGGTATGAAAAGATCTGACGATAGACAGCAAGTTAATTTATAAGATGCCCCATAAATCTGAACAGATCCCACATGGTCGCATCGCAACTATGGGCTGGGTGAATGGTATATATTTAAAGGTAGAAGCATGATCTGTCAAGGCGTTCATTGTTATCTTTTTCAAGATAAAGATTTAAGCCCTCATAAAAATCAGAAATATCTCGAGCCTTCAAATTTTTTAGTGCTGTTCCTGCAGAATGGGGCGATTCACCTTAGTGACCCCCACCATATCTACTGATCAGCTAACTCCACCCTCCCACCTTTTTTGATGTTAGGCTCTGAGACTATGATTATTATGGTTACCGCAAATATATTGCTTGGTACCAGACATGTTCGTACCCCATATTCCATCTCCCTAGCTTTCTTAATGAGTGCTTCCATTAGGTCCCCGCGTACATCTTTATGAACATATTATATATGTATGCATGCGTCCTAATGAACAGATTACTTTATAAGAAGTCAAAAACCTTGAAGAATAACAAGAATAGGTTTTGTGAATAGTGGAGCAAGATTCAGCAGAACAATATAGTTAGGGTTCAATATAGGTAGTATGAACTGAAGGTAAGGTCGGTTGGCAGGACCAAGTGTACTAAATTATCATGACAGTTTTATATATAGTAAACATTTGACATTGCAAAGTAACCTGTCTACATATATTATAAAAAGATATCAGCAGAACCAGCAAAATTTCAGCATTTGGTTAACAATACTACAGAAAGTTAGTGAGTCTTACAGGTAGCCGTAAAGTAAATCAATCTATGTATAATAAGAGTGCAATATGTGTTATAATTCGTATTATCAAAGAATACATTAGGCTGAAAAACTGAATGTTATAAGGGAATTAAGAGTGATAAACTAAGAGAACATTTGCTGCGTAAGTAATAATTTTAAGTATTTTAATGATAATCTAATTTCAAGTATTGAACATGCATAATTACTAAGTATTATTAGGTTAGTCTAGGAACTTGTGTACTGTCTGTAGTTAAATATTGAAATGTCATGGTTTCGCCACTCTACCAGCAGTTGAGATCATTTAGAAGGGCTAGGGTGGACATGTTAATATGTTTTTCTAGGCTCCTTTTGAAACTGTCAGGCCTTTCACAGGATCTAATCTCAGAGGGTAGTTGGTTCCAAAGTTTGCAATACTTAATGGTGAAGAAGTTAGCTCTAGTGGTGAGCTTATGGGTGTTAACCTTGAGAAGGCAGTTATGGTTGCGTAGTCCATACGATTTAGGATTAGCCCAGGTTATAGACGAGCTACTGTTACAGTGCTTTCTTATAACTTTGAATAAGAGAAATAAATTGCACTTCACTCTCCTTAACCATAAGGGTTCTAAGTCCAGTCGAATACATCTGTCAAGGTATTCTATTTGCTGATCATAACCTAATATGCGTTTCGTGAGGAATCTTTGGACACTTTCAACTTTTTTTCTGTCTGCTGATTTAAAGCTACTGTATAAGTGGGCACAGTATTCAAGTTTGGGGCGAATGCATATCTTATATATGGCTAATCTGGCTTCTGGGGTGTAAAAGTTGCGTAGCACAAAGCCGGTTAGACGTTTACAATCAGATACCACCTTATTTGCATGTTCAGTAAAGGAAAGATCTGAGTATGTTACCCCGAGATCTGTGACTGTGTTCGTGTTTGAGACAAGGTCACCGTACATGTATAGACACATGCTAGGTTTCCAACGTCCGAAGTATGTTATCCCAGATTTAGCTGGATTGAACGTTAGCTGCCACTTTTCACTCCAATTACATAGACTATTTAGGTCTTCTTTGATTTTACTAACAATATTCATATCATTATAGTCGAAATCATAGACAACTTTGAGGTCGTCTGCAAAGAGGTATGGCTTGCCATACTTGATCATAGAAACAATATCATTTATGAATACAATGAATAGGGTAGGGCCAAGAACACTACCTTGTATCACGCCGCTGGTTATCGGTTTGGATGTTGATAAGTGATGGTTGACTTTAACTAACTGTTCTCTTCCTGTAAGAAAAGAAGTTATCCACTCAAGTAGCCTTCCACTTATTCCATAAGATAGGAGTTTCAGTATGAGTCTCTTATGTGGGACCTTATCAAAAGCTTTCCTAACGTCTAGAAATAATGTCTCTGCTGAACGACCTTTGTCTACACACTCAGTAATGTGGTCGAAATAATCTAATTGGCAAGTAATGCACGATCTTCTATTTAGGAAACCGTATTGGAAGGCGGATATTAAGTCATTCGAGAGCAAAAACTGAACAATTTGCTTCTTTATAATCTTTTCCATCACACGTGAAACTACGGAAGTAATGTTGATGGGGCGGTAATTATCTATGTCCGCTATAGGCCCGGTTTTGTGAATGGGTACAACGTAAGATTTCTTCCAGCTATTAGGATATGTTCCACTCCTTATCGAAGTTGAAAATATCTTGAGAAGAAGTAGATTGATGTCATTTCCACCCTTTTTTAAGAGGACAGAAGACATTCCATCTGGGCCGGGAGTATTAGTAAGCTTAAGAGTTGTGGTAGCTTTATCGATTTCTTGGGCGTTAAAGACTACATCGCTTAAACACTTTTCTGTTTTACGAGGGAAATCAATATCCTGGTCATTTTCTAGAGTGTACAATTTGGCAAAGTGCGTGCTAAACACCTCACATATATCCTCATCACTTTCGTGAGTAATGCCACCTAGGTGTATTATTTTTGGATATGTTGATTTGGAGTTAGTTAACCTACTTTTGAAGAGTTTGGCCATTTCTCCAGTGTTATGTGGCGACTGAATTGCCCGCGTCTCTTTATTTCTAAGACTTGGATTTTTTAACTCATGGATTCTAATGAGGATTGTTTTGATAGCTATTAACGACGATAAGTCGTCATGTCTGTAGTAACTTAATGAATGCTTCCGCATACTTCTTCTTAATGATAGGGTACAAATAACCAAGGTTGGATCTGTATTGTCTCATCCTAGGCAGATCACAAGTGGGGTTGTGCAAGGTAGTGTCCTAGGTCCACTTTTATTTACAGTATACATTAACAGCATTTGCAACTGCTTCACCTCAGGTAAATCATTCCTATATGCTGACGACCTCAAAGTCGTTTACTCCTGCTACACTCATGAACTAAGTGATATGGTGAATAAAATACATCTTGAACTTAGTAGTCTCGCAACATGGTGTACTGAATCTTGTCTAAAGTTCAACATTGATAAATGCGGCTGGATTTGTATCGGAAACAGTAACTTTGACCTGAATATTGAAATAAATGGGCGTAAACTAGCCAAGCTCAACTCAGTCGTAGATCTCGGTATCAGATACTCTAGTAACTTAACGTTCTCTGAACAAACTGATTATGCCAGACGTAAAACACGAAGGCTCCTAGGATGCATAACTCGCAATTTCTTTTGTTGTGAAACAAGCGTTTTATTATATAAAGTATGTGTCTGACCTATTTTAGAATACTGCCCGTTTATTCTTAGCGGACTCAGACTCAGCTAAATCCCCACGACCCGTCCTGTCTTCTCCCACTGTACCGACTACTCTATCTTTTCTTTGTTTCTTTATTATTTCACCTTTATTATTTCACTTATCTCAACCTATATTATCTACACTACAACCTATTATTATTCTACTTTTATGACTACACCGAATAACCAACGGGTGTTAGGTCAAACTCCATTCACGGCAGCAGCTGAGTCCTAACATACTGCACACTACAAACCACAATCTTGACCAATCCTCTTGGAGTCTACCAGAGCTAAAGCAGTCGAGTGGCGGGATTTACTACGCATAAGTTCACCGAAGATCTGGAACCTCTAACTTATAATCAAGAAGCGAGCTCAAAGGAATCACTGTTTTATACTGGCTCGTAATCAGGATATTGGATATTGGACATTGGAATGCAATTTTTATTAGCGCCCGAAACTTCTTAAACGGTACGTATCGGTTCAGTTCATGAGAACTAGGGCGCTGTCGCCATGAAACCGAATTTTAGCAGCCCTTGTCCAACTGAGAGATGAAACCACGGGTTGAATAAAAGTATTAAAAGTAAGGAACAGACACCAACTTCAGACGACCTTGAAAAAACCAGTTAGGTTCTACGTGAAAAGTTGGTATTTAACCAACAAAAAATGTATTCATAGAATACATGTTACAAAAATGAATCATACAGGGTATATATCCCTAATATGCTGTGAAAATTGGTCCCAGTAACTCACAGGAGTGTCTGCAGGCATATAAAATCAGTATCGATACAAAAATTCAGCTAAGTGGCCGTCTATCATATTTTACTAAGGGAGAGTTTCGATTCCGAGAGGAAGGTAACTAAAAAATCACCGTAATTTACGACTAACTAACTCTTTCAGACTCATTTAACAGTGGTTGCATCTAAACGCATGACCATCGAAAGTCCGGCACTACTATCGCAAAGTCATTGTCCCTCCATATATTAATCTTTTAGTCCTTCCTATCAGCCTATTTTCCATACAGAAGTCAAACTAAATCTAGGGGAAACTTGCAAAGATTATTATGGACAGCGTTCATTAGTAATGCTGAGAGATCCGACTGAAGGTGATTTGACTTTGGTGTCGATTGCTTACTCGTGCTTGCTAACATAGTTTCCTTTAATGGATTTGGTTCCCTGAACCACTTCGAAAACAAGAGTGACATTTTTCCCTTGTGAAGTAACTTTTGCTTATGTTGTGTAAATCAAATCAGAAGTTTTTTCATTTACTCTAACTGCCTTAATTAGTTCAAGTATTGCTTTATGTTCACATTCGAGGCATTTCGTGTAATTTATATATCACTGCATTTATCCGAATAAATCACAGCGATTATTTTCTTTGGGTGCGCTGCAGAACTTGAAACGGTGGTCTGCAGTCTGACCCAACGATTCTGCAGTACGTCCGAAGCCTACCTCCAAATATTCTGCAATTCGCTTTAAGTTTCTGCAACTGAATTAAACATCGTCTGCAAATAATAAAGTTGAGGTAAGAATTCTCGGCACTTCATTTACGTATAATAGGATTAGCAGGGGGCCAAGGAAGGTTCCCTGAGGTACTCCACTCAGTACTGCTTTCCACCCTGACAGTACACCATTAATTCTGACCTATCCATCACGTAGTCCCTAAACCACTCACAGAGGCGTTGGTCTAATCCAAAATCTAGTTTACTGCGAAGACCTAAGTGGGATATCTCATCGAACACTTTACTAAGATCGATAAAGACAACGTCCAATTTAAGGTTCTTATCTTTGGCTTCGAGCCATTCTTCCCTTGCTAGCCGTAGGTTTGGCAGATAGGATCATCCTGGTCGGAATCCATGCTGTTCCCCCGCCAGTAAGCCGTGTTTTTCCATATGAGCTAAGAGCTGATCGCTTATGATTGTTTCCAATACCTTCGCTGTAATGCAGTTTAGACTTGCAGGCCAGTAGTTAGATACCAACCGTCTGTTCCCCTCTTTGAAGATGAGGCTTATAATTGCATCGTTTCAGTCCCTGGGTAGCCTAGCCTGGGTTAGAGACATTTGAAAAATCTCTGTAAGTGGAACGTATATCCGCCAAGGAGATTAGCAGTCTAGGGTGAAGTCTGTTGGGTCCCGGTGATTTACCTAACTTCAGTTTAGACAGTAATTTGAGAACCTTTGCGTCCTATATCACAACTGAGGGCACTTTAGTGGCGATGGTAGTGACTTCGCTATACCCTGGGTGGTACAACTAGACGAAACGACATCGCAAAAGCATCCCGTGAGCTTTCCAACTTTTGTTTCGTTTGACTCGGCTGCCTCTATAGTACTGCTTATGAGTGACGGTATACCACTGCTAGTTGTAGTCCTACGTTTGATATACGAGTACAGTGTTTTTGGATAATATACACAATCCAGTACTAACTATCTTTCATACTGTATACAATTTTAGTCAGTCATATACTTACGAAGGTTTCGAATTTTGCGCTAATCCATCTGAAACTCCTCCCATGAGTTTTTTTCGCTTTTTTAATACCTTCCTTATTTCATTACTAATCTAAGGTGCTTTACGCAATAGCCTTTGAGGCATAGACCAACGTATAAAAGGTACAGTGACGCAATCTGGTGTATTACTAAATCCTACTCAAGCTTCATCGACAGCCTGAACAGTCAGCCTGGGTTGCTGCGCTCCGGATTGCAGGTATATTTGCTTTCCAAATATTTGAACGAGCAGCTGTTGACTTATGTATAACAGCGTGAATCTTAAATGTAAAAATGATAACTGCATGGTCACTACTGCCTAGCAGTGGAAGGCACCTAATGTCACCGATATCCTCCTTCTTGTGTGTTAGCACCAGGTCTAGAGTAGACGGATCATGTTCAGAGTGCTATCGTTTCGTTGCATGTACATTCTGTACAAGTGCACATTCAAACACTGTCAGCGTGTTTCCTCTTGAAACAGGTACACAACATAGTGGATGTTAATTCCTCCCAATTAATATGTGAGGCATTAAAATCACCTACTATTAGACACCTATTTCTACTAATACACACCCAGAGTTTATTTAGCACGAAATCATCAGCTTGTGTGGCAGGACTTCTATAAATAACCCCAATCATCACAGTGCCCTTGTTCAAGTTAATGACACAGCTTGCGGCTTCACTAGCGCCGCTGCCATGTGCTTCTGACAACGTTGACCTAATTCCTATATCTTTCCGGATGTATAAGGCAACCCCAACACCTTTCCGACAAATTAATCTGTCTGCTCTAACGCAGGTGTACGTAGATATGAGTGGAGTTAAGTCTACACCCACTAACAACCATGTTTCGGTGATAGTAATCACATTAGGTTTTAGTTCCTCAGAGAACACTCCTAGTTCAGGAAGCTTATTCCTGAGACTACAAGCGTTCGTATGGCATAATGAGAGACCTACCTGTTCACTCGACTTGTGAACAGAGGTCTAGACAACATAGGTTTCCGAGACCTCACTACTCGAAAACTCAACAGTTTAAGGTCTTTCTCCCCTTTTCCTAGTGGGACTTTCAATTGCGCTACGGCTTCTCTTCTTTTAATTCTATCTTCCAACAGCCAATAGGTTTTTATTCTCAGCTTTTTGTCCTTGATCTTAAGTGCGTTGTTGAGAATAATACTCCTTTCCATTTCGTCCCCCAGTACTATCTTCAGCAGTCGTGAGAAACTTTCCGTGGCATCGGCATTTCGTTTACCGACACTGGTTACCTTTCTCATGTGAACTCCATTTGTATTTTCGGAAAGTACTTCACGAATAGTGGAGCTGACTGCTTTGAGATCATCAGCATGTCGGGTAGCTGGATCTATTTTCTTCGATCTCTCTAAGTTCCAAATTTTGATATTGTAATTTGAGTCCGAATGTGTCGAAATCGTATTAGTATTTACGGCCGTCGAGACCTCGTCACTTAGCACAATCGTTTTCTCTTTCGTACACCTTTTCAGCTTCCTGCTTTTCGGTACTAATCAAGTGGAATTAGTTTCTTCTACTTTGCTCTCGCCACAGCTAGAAGCCATTCGTTCACCAGACACGCTACGCTTTGTCGTGGTAGTGTCACCCAGTGGTCTTACAATGTTGCTACCACTTGCCCTCTTAGATTTATAGCGACTTATTGCGTACCGTTGCAGGCCTTATGGTATACTCTTTTGCGTCTAACGCTTCTGGATGTGGTTCAGTCTCAGTCTTATGTCTCTTATGAGATTTTTGTCAATTTCTTCGACATTAGAAGTAAAAAATACCACTCTCCTTTTCGAAGGTTAGGTTGAGTTATCTGCACTTACCCAACCGACATATTTTCTCCATGTGTTCCCATCTAATATCATCGTAAACGTAATACATGGTGGTCACTATGCATTATTCCAGGAGCACAAGATTCGTTTGGTAAAAATAGACTATAACGACCATAGTGGTTCAAGAAACTAACTCCTTTATAAGCAAAGGAGTTAGAGCTTAAATTCGAGGTATGCTGTCATCTTTCACTCCAACAGGGATTGCTTTATTCTGTCTTTATGGCGTTAGCTAGTGCTTTATTGGGAAGAAACACACCAAAAGGATTATTTCTTAAAGCAAGGGGTTTGTGATGATGCTTATGTTAAAACCTTTTGCTAATCGCAATAATATGAGTGTTATTTGTCTAATTATTGCCTTTTTTATTTATAGGCCTGGGCGGATAATGCAGTCAATAAAGAGAGTAAGACTTCCTACAACCTTAAACCTACAATTTCAAATTTTTTAGAGTACACTACTAACTGGATTACCAGTGTCGAAAAATCCTCATCGTGTAATTTCATTTCACTTGATGTGTGTGTAATGAACCCCCTTTAACTTTTAGATTTTAACATCATTGTATAATCGTATTCTCAAGGTGTTGGCACTTATGCCTGAGGAATCTAGTTATCGTAGGCATACAAGTGAAATAGTACAATCTAGGCTAAATGCTGTTAATAAGGTAATTTAATTGTGATATGATAATAGATTTTAATTCATAAAAGATACCAGATATTCCTACCCTTGAATCGACTATCGATTGTGGTCAAATTGAAGAAGTTATTGTACAGGTAAAGTATATTTTGTTATGGAGTTCTGGTGAATATTATCTACTGTACTGTCTTGTTGTGCAGTGCATTAATATAATGCCGTTTATATTTAAACAAGTGAACAACTTTGTTTCTATTTAAACCATTTATACTGTTTTTATGAGTAACTTCCTTCTCTTCCCAATGAATTCATCAAGCTTTTTGCATATTGGAATGGAAATAGTAAATCCCTTAAACAATTAGTTTATGCCATATTTAAATAATACGGCAGTGAATAGTTGTCATGTTTTATCATGGATTTCCCACAAAGTGGAAGATATGCAAGTGAAAAGCGACAAGTTGGCAGAAGAAGCAACAAAAGTAGGTCTTTGGGTGAACATAGAGAAAACAGAGGTGATGAAGATTCCTGGCCAACAGCAATAACAACAATCAGCCAGCATACATGGAAGGAATCTGAAAGAAGCAACCTCCTTGACCTACCGACCTAGGAAGCATCGTTTCAACTACAGGCGGATGGAACTGATGAGGATATCAAAGCGAGGATCATCGGGAAAGCAAAGCAAGCTTTCATTACTCTCACGTCTGTGTAGAGATTAACAGCACTCAGCATGAAAAATAAGATCCGGATTTTCAACTCCAATGTGAAGTCAGTGTTACTCACTATACGGCTCAGAGACTTAGCGCGTCACAAAAGGCACTTCGAACAAACTACAGACTTTCATGAACAGCTATCTTCACTCAATACTACTCAAAATCAGATGGCCAAAAAAGATCAGCAACAGGGATCTCTGGGAGCGAGCCAAACCAGCAGGAACCAATTGTGCAACAAATATGCAGGAAGAAATTGAGGTGGATTGGCCATACTCTGAGAAAACAAACCGTCAAGTGACATCACTAGACAGGCCCTCGAGTGGAACCCGAATGGGAAGCGGCCAGCTGATCGTCAATGCGACGGAGGGATGATATGGAGGAGGTGATGTGAAGAGGAGATGAAAGCATGTGGGCAGACGTGGAGCCAGGTGAAAAGGTTGGCGGAGAACCGAACGCAATGGAGACGTGTGGCTGAAGCCCTATGTTCCTCTAGGAACTAAAGGAAACAATAATATACTTTATAATATTAATAGGAGATATATATGTGCAAATAGCTTGCCAAAAACAGCAAATTATCTCTGAAAGTAGTAAAACATAATCACCTATTATCAATATGAAGAAATGTATTTTGTGCATAAGGCTTTTTGTATCACTGTATGTATAAATGGATCCAAAATCCGTGTGCAGATCAACAGTGCTTAGCAGAAGAAAGAAGATCAGAATTTTGAACAGTAATGTGAATTAGTGCTTATACATGGTTTAAAAACTTCTAGCACGCATCATAGTGTCACAGTAGGAGACAAAAGACTTTGTTAAGGAATGTTTGTTTGGAAAACGGTATCTCTATATAGCCAAATTATGTACAGGCTATCTTCAATGCACAAATCGCACAGACCTTTGTGTTGTAGAACTTCTGGCCTTATTTTTACTTCTAAAGCTACTTCCGAGTAATTATATCAGTTATGTCGCCCCCACCCCTATTAATCAATAATAGACTACTATACATTTTCGGTAAATATAAATACGACTGTACAGCCTCTAAAGGAGGCTGTGCGTCGGTGGCACAGTGGTTAGGACTCTCGCCGACCATGCACATAGTCCGGGGTTCGATCCCCTGCCGACGCACACCTGATATCTATGGTCGGCCTGCAAAATTTGGGCTACCGATATGACATGCTGAAAATTCCATACTTGTACTGAAAATATGGTGCGGCATCAAGCTGTAATCAAAACAAATAAAATAATAAATGATTTCGTCGATAAAAAAGCATTTTCTTCGATGAATTTGTCTTTCATTTTCGTTTACAAACTTCCGAATCGTTGAATAGTTAAAATTAGACTACACATTGAAAGTGTGACACCGGAACCTGATACACCTAGACCCCACATGTATTTATCTAAGTAACTTAATATTTACACTCCTGACTAAATTATTTTTTTCTGATTACCTTTACTATAGGCTGAAAGGGAATATGATTTAGCTCGTAATATGCTTAAATGGAAGCCTTGGGAAAAACTCCTTGAAGAAGCTCCTCGTGACCAATGGAAGTGGCCACTTTAAAATAACCTTCTTTCTTTTGTATTTCACTTTAGTGTTTTATGCTGTTTTGAAAAAGCCAAATAGATTGTAGATCTTGAAATCTTATGCCATTAACTTTGAATTTTTTCTTCCTTCCTTTTATGCATAAAGATCACGGAATATACAAATTTGATCACAAGGAATTATTAAAAAGACGGTTGCAGCGAAGAAAATTTTCTTTTCGACGAAGTTACCGTCAGCTAGGCTGTACATTCGTGTATTTATAATAAATAGGTGGGAAAGTTCCAGAATAATTTCCGGCTAAGGGTCAAATTAATAAAATTACAATTAGGAATTAAAATGCCGTAATAAGCATTGAAGGGGGGGCTGACAAAACTCAAACAAAGTAGCATCATAATTACTGAGAGGATTCACATATTGTGCAATTAGGGGTTAGAAATTACAAGACAGGCAGGATGTTTGGGTAAAAAATCTAGTGGGATCATAACTAATGTGACGAATAATCGTTTATACAGTTAGGGATTAAATACGTAGAAATAATAAAATGACAAAATAGACAGGAAGTTCGGATATGAAAATATGGTAGTGTAAAATAGGGATTAAGAAAAACTTAAAAATAACATGAATAAAGAGGAAGTTTGGATAAGAAAGTCAGTGGGATAGTCACAATTAAAAGAATTACCTGTTTATGATGGCCATGGCAGGGACAAAGGTTAGACATATTTCTTTTGGATCGAATCTTGTATATGACTTTGAAGGATTTTTCGAATGGCGCTAAATGTCCTGAATTGACCAGATGTTCTGTCACTGCACTATATTCACGTTTTGATTCTCCTTTTACTAGTCAGACTGGATAGTGTTCGTGAGTACGTTTTTCAATTTGGCGCATCGTACAGCCGATGTACTCAGCTCCGCAAGAGCAAGTAAACTGGTATATGTACGTTGAAGTGTCCCAATGCGACGGCTTTCGCGTTCTGGCTGGACAGTTTCTTGCAAGAAAACGTCAGTCGTAGGCTTGCAGTGAAGTATGTTTTCCTCCGAGATTTGCAGAGGCGTTTACGAAGGATTTCTGCTTCAGCGTTACCTTTGGATTCTAGATTAAGCAGAAGTATCTTCGGGACGGATTTAACTTGTTCAGAATTCTTCTTTGATTTGAGATTCTTGTCTATGAACCTAGGCGGAAAACCGTTTTCCATCAGGGTTCCTCGGAGATTACGCAGTTCTTCGTCAATCACTTCCGAATCCTCGAGGAAAGAGAGTATGTAAGGTTTCTATTTCCTCTTAGGGGCACGAAGCTTTGAAAATCGATGAATTGTCCATTCTATGTAGGTTTTTTGTATATGGACCTTCTCAGAGAGTTGTTGTCGTTTCTTGTCAGATGGACGTCGAGGAAGTGGAACATTCCGTTGAATTCAGCTTCAAGAGTAAAGTCAATGTTTCGGTGGGCATTGTTAAAGGTTTGAAGTAAGTTTTCAAGATCCAGGTTCTCATCACAAATGATGAAAGTATCATCAATGTATCTGTTGTAAAGATGGGTGTCAGTGATGGTCGATGATACGAAGTTGTTTTCGAGGCTAGCCATAAAACATCAAATAGGAAAAAGAATAAAAGGGTGGCGTGTTTGTTTATGCGTCAGGATTGAACAAACACATAATATAAAAGAGATTATAGTTCTGAGTAAATTGTAAATGTACATTGGTGTAAGGTGAGATAGGTGTGATAGAAAAATTTAAGTTGATATGCGCTAGGAAAACATTTCTAGAACCGAAAGTAAACAGCTTCGTGTTTATAGCGCTTGCGAACTGCTTAATTCCAAAGACAGCCAAGATAGTTAGATGTTTTTTTTCTGGTTGCGTGATTGGGGCTGTTTTTATCTGGGTGGCTGTCGTTTCTTCTGTTCACAATACTCGAAATCTAACCGCTTATGGCAAGTCAAATGTAAGATGATGCTACAGGACTGGATTACACCGACTCCTAGTTTAGAAATAGGGAGTGAAGTGGTAGAGGGTGTTAACCACTTCTCTTCTTTGTTCGGTTGCGTCAGCCATTCACAGCGCGTTGGTCGCTGGTGAAATCTCAGCGCAGATAGAGGAGGCTCGTTTGGTATTCACCTGCCAACTTACGCCATCTCTGGCGTAGACATGATATCTGACTGTCGATCAAATGGCGTGTATACTGCCCAGAAGTTCGCTTCGTTCTCCTTTATGGATGTGAGTGACACATGGAAGCCATTGAGAGTAGAATACATGAAAAGGCTGGCTAGTTGTCTTTGATCTCAGGTGTCTGCGTTCTGTCTCCCATGTTAGGCAGCATGATAAGGTGAGCAATATTGAGGTTAGGCGTCGAGTGGTAGGCTAGGTAAGGAGGGAAAATCAGTCGATGAGGCTGCGAAATTATATCGATTGAGATAGTTTGGACATGCGTTATTCACGCATGTGTAGCTATCGCTTCCTTCGACGGGCAATGTTAGCTGACATAGGATGCATCATGTAAGGAAAGAGCTAGTGATTAATTCCATATTAGTTTGTTTATTAGATATATCACACAGTGAAACAGTATTATTTACTGGATGCCGTTTCGAACAAAATTTATTGTTCATAATCATATCAGTTGTAATCACACGACTTTGACACTTGATGTGGTGAAATGTTTAAATGACAGAGCACAAAAACTAAGTAGTACCATAGAAAATCTAAAACAGGAACTGATACACATAAAAGAAGCTTTGAAACTTAATAATTACCCGGATAAATTAGTCAAGAAATATTTAAGGAAATGTAAAAATAAAATAAGTAATGATAGTGGCGATAGTGATAATAACAATAATAATGATAATAGTGATGATAATAATATTAATGACGACACCAACAATAAGGAATCTAAATAATCAGTAGTAATTCCATACAAGGAAGGAACCTCGAAAACCACATTACGCAGAATTCTTAACAAGGCAGGAATAAAAGTGGCTGGCGTTCAAACCAACCACAAACTCAATTAGAAACAAGCTTTGTCTGTTAAAGGATCAATCCTGTGGAGCCATTAAAACAAAACAATTTAGTTTATCTCATACCCTGCCTGAAATGATTGTCAGGTCAAATACATAGGTCAAACCAGTAGAACAGGGGCAGTCAAACTAGCTGAACATAAAAACCCAGCAGCAAAATCTAGATTGGTTGACCCGAATAAGATAAGAAATCTAGAGAATAGTTCAGCTATAGCACTAAATGCAGTTACACAAAATAGGATGACAGTTTTAAAATCCAATGTCACAGGGTATAGGGAGAGATTGATAACAGAAGCTTTGTTTATCGAATCAACTACAAATACATGTAATAGGAATGACTCATCACCTATCCCCGATATCTGGAAAATTCTACTACCCATACGACAAATAGGAGAGAACAAAGAAAACTATAAAAATCAAGTGTCAAAGTCGTGTGATTACAACTGATATGATTATGAACAATAAATTTTGTTCGAAACCTTGTCATCCAGTAAATAACACTGTTTCACTGTGTGATATATCTAGTAAACAAACTAATATGGAGCTAGTGATTGTCAAACGAAAATATGGCTTCATCAGTCAATGAAATGCATAACAGTTTAAGCCAGTCACCTGGGGATGGGTAGACTTTCTGACCGGTTGGTGTCCTCGGGATGGTAAGAACCAGTGAGGGTTGGAGATAATTGGTGATATGACTCAGATGCATTCAGTCTTTGTGATTTGTCGTGTCCAATAAAACTCTATTGTTCTTCCACCGTACTACTATTCTTTTTCCCTCACACACTTCTGTTTATTATCTCTGTCTCCTTTGAATCTCTCTTTACTCTCTTCTCTTGCTTAGTGTGATACAAGGAGGGAGTGTGGCAACTCTTACTGGTGCACATCTGTGCAAAGTTCTGTGTTGAAACCAGTCAGTCAGCCTATGGCAAGTTGTTAAGAACACAACAAATGACTGGGGAGATTCTATCGCAACGTCTAACCAGGGTGATAAAAAAAACTTTCTACTCTGCACGTCTGTGTCTATCCTTCAGTAGCCGTTTAATGTTCACCCAGCAACTCAAAGATGTCTTACCTAAGCTTAGCTCTTCTTCATGCATATACCATTTCAACTGTTCCTGTGGTTCAAGTTATATAGGGCGCACGATTAGGCGGGTTCGTCTACAGGTTCGAGAACATTTACCAGGTTTGTTCAGCAGGGGGAAATTAAGTGCATAAAAAGCTCGATCCTGTCACACTTGGTCGATACTGGACATCATATCGATGTCAACACAGCTTTCAGGGTTATATACCGAATTCCGAAGTCGTTATCACGTACAATTTGCTTACGTCTCCTACACATAGCTGAAGCTGTTGCAATAAGATCTACTAAACCGGAACTTTGCAACCGAAAGGAACACGTCCAGATGCTGTTCCTACCGTGGCCAAACTTGGATTGATGATTCTTCTTCTTACCAAGAGTGCTCCTTCCCACTTAACCCTCTTGGTTTTTTTTCCTCTGCTTATTATTACAAATATTATTATTACAATTATTATTATTATTCGTCATAATTTATGCCCTTCATGCAAATATTCTCTCAATACTATCGAATTTTTGCGTTTATACTATCCGGACTTATTATTAGTGATATTATCTCTTTTCTCTCAATATAATAATAATAATAATAATAATAATAATATACTTTATTCCAAAAACAGTACTTATAATACAGAATGGAATTATCAGCATTAATTATAATATTGGTCTTATGTTAAATCCTTCCAAATGTCAGGCAGTTAACTTTACCTTCAAGCATCGACGTGACATACATGAACTAGTTAGTTCCCATGATGCCTGTAGCATAGATGGCACAGAAATTGAAACCAAGTCAAGCATTAAATACCTTGGATTAGTTCTTTCCTCTGACCTTTCATGGTCATCCCACATTTTATTGATCTCTAAGAAAATGTTTCGTCTTACCTTCTACATTAAAAAGTTAAGACAACAAGGTATCAGTCAACCTTTAGTTCTGCAATTTTTAAACTCCTGTATTTTACCTATTGTACTCTATTGTTTTCCATTAATCTTTCCTGGGCTTCTTAAAAAAGACTATGTCATATTACGAAGGGTATT